ACATATTTGCACCTTATCAGGCGCCTCCTGCATGCCCATTGTATTAGACCAGTCATTCCATGCATTAATGCGATCTAAAACTTTTTCCCAACGCCTAGAGAAAAAACTCCTGTCGTCCATGTAGCAGGAGAGCTCAGCCGAGCTGTCTTGGACTGCCTGCTCAACAGTTCGGACTCCTGGAGAAACCCAGAGAGAGAGGCAGAAAGGCGCAAGAGGGCACCCCTGAGGGGTAGCTTTACCAGCCCACAACGTCTGCTCATGCGTATGGCCTTCATACGAAACGAACCTTTGTTGCGAACCCCAAGCCTCTAAAAGAAGTTTGGGAATGGCTTCAGGTAGACCAAGTTCCAGAAGGGCCTTGGCAGTAATTTCAGGCTGCATCCTGTCGTAAGCAGCAGTCCAATCAAGGGTAGTCATGAACCCGCCTTGTTTCGTGAGTGCATCTTGCAACTTGGCAGCACACGCTTCAGCACTTTCGCTTCCTTTACCGTAGATTACGCTCGGGTGGAAGTGCTTGGAGGCCCATTGTTGCAACTGCTGGTTAGAAGACCAAGCGGACGCATAAATGCGCCAGAAGATAGAACAAACAGAAATAGGGCGAGTATGTTTGACATGTAAAACGCCATCATTCTGGATTTTACCAGGTTTGGTCAAAGTGACCTGACGGGCCTGCTTAAGTTGAATAGGCAACATGCCCTCCTGTTCCCATCTTCTGGTAAGTTTGAACAGGAGCTGCGTAACTTGAAAAGGTAAATTCTTTACTTCCTCTGCAGTCCATCCGTCCGCGCCCGCGGATCCTTTGGCGGTAGACATGGCCTTGTGCAGATCAAGAGCTGACAGTCCAACCCACTGAGTGTCCCCAACAGGGCCGAAACCTTGAACTAAAGTGCGAGCAGCAACATCAACATTAACATGTCTTTGTTCCGCCCATATGTCCTGCCAGTGCTCACAAACCATGGTGGTAGCCTGCGCACAAGTTTCAGCGACAACGCCCTGGCGACACAGTCTGGCTTTGTTAGTTTGGGTTTGCTTGTTTTTTACAGTAACCAAGTCCCTAACTTGGCCAGCGAACCTTGGTTCATGTCCTGCTTCCATCGAGTAAGACGAGAGTTCCTAGCTTTATGCTCTTCTTTACTAAGCGTATTTTTGAGCTGAACAAGCTCTTGTGTGGCCCACCTGCAGAGGTTCGGGCCGCTTTCGTCTCCAGCGGCGTCGTCGGAAACGCGAAGTTTAGCAAGAAGTCTAGGATCAACCTCTTTACCAGAGGCAGCCAAACGCTTGACTTCATAAACTCTGGCAAGTCTACGCCTAAGCTTACGGATGCTTTCACCTTCACTAGGGTTCCCAGCCGCCTGCGTGCTGTCCGAGACCCATTGGAAAATGGGCGGGCGTCCTTTAACCGTTTTACCAGATTGCTTAAGCAGCGCACTAGCAGAGTTTTCAGTGCCCGATACGAACAAATGGAGACCAACGAGACAACACGGACCCGAAAGCACCATACGAAGCAGGAATGAATGAATTGGGTGAGTCACCCCAGTTGAATCGCATCACTCAGTTCGAGAGTGCGCAATACCCCTGCCCCAACCCATGATTGTCCCCCTTCCCCGGGAATGGTCCAGAGGTCGCTCGAGTCAAATGAAACAAATCCCTGCAGAAGTTGTCAAACGAGACATGGGATAAACAAAAGAGAAGACGAGAGCACGACATGGTGAACAGAAGCTCGATGGAAAAAAGCTTAACGTCCCCACACCCCGAAACACCACAAAGCCTCAAACCTTTGCTTGAATCCAATTCCCCAGGCGAAACCTCTGTGCAGCCAGTCCTGTTCTCATTTTTGCCTCCAGATCGCCCGATGTCCCTGGTCCCTAAATTGCTAGCAGAGCCGCACTATTCGCCTCAGGTTGGTCAGCTTTAAAAATGTTCACAACCCCGTTCGTTCTTTTCAAAGTCCACACGCGCAGTGACTTTTCAGCGGAGGCACATCACTGCAAGGGCCCAGCAGGACCACATCCCTCTTTGCGCAACTTGTGCGCACCAGAAAAGGCGACCGTGCGAAAAAGCTGCCCACAGCTTCGATCGGCATATGTCACATGCACTTTCGAGTGTGCTGCGAGTGCTTGTAAACTGTAAACATCCCAGAGCTGACGCATCCCTCCTTCCAAGGCACAAACGCACTTTTCCCAGATAAAATCGCGTCCGATTGGCCGCGGAGATCTCGTTCAGGTGCAGGGCAGAAACCCAAACCTCCAACACGCAAAGTCGTCAAATGATAGCCCTGTACCTATCCGTGGCCCGTCGTGTGCTGGCACTACTCACAAATCAGCTTGCTGCAATACATTGGAAGATCATCGGCCCTTCGAGTCAAGGCGAAACAGCCACCTTGCGAGTAGCTTCGCATGCTTGGGTCTTGGGTACCACATGCTGTCGTCACTACAAAATGCTACAGGATCTGCTGGGAGGTTTGAAGCTCGACGTCCTTATCCAGGGGAAGTTCACAATTTCACGGCGTCGCCGTGGTGCGGATGAATCGAGGTGTATGCGTTATGCACTGCAGCACCTGTCTGCTGCAAAAAGCAAGTGATGTACAATCAGAATCCAGACCTCATTATGCAGAACTGATGTATGGCTGAACGGTTGCAGAACCACAAGCAGGTGAGAGGAAACTCGTGCACATCCATAAACTGACTTTGTTCATGAATCGATCTTCATGAAGGTAAAGAGTAAACTGGCTTCAGACTGAGGTGCCCACCAAGCTCCAATGAGCTGCAGCAGGACTTGGCGTGGGACGAATGGCCGACAGCGCTTAAGGATTAAGCTGCGTAGCACAAGCTGTGGCTGCTTGGGAATCTAGAGGGCGCAGATTCCTGGCAAGTAGTTTCAGAACGAAGTTTGCAGTCTGTCGAGCGCCCCGCATACCTGATGGTGTCCACAGGACCGCGACTTTGAAGTAGATAGTTGGTCAAGAAAGCTAGGTGTTGCTTAACGGCTGCGCAGAGTTGCTGTGAGTGCTCCATGCACTGCATAGGGCGGAGATATGCAGGGACTCATCCCGACTCAGCACACCTACTGCCAACGCCTTGTTCACTCGAAGCTTTGATGTTGCGGCGCTGGTGGCTTGAAGCCGGTCTTCTTCACCTTGGACCAAACTTGAGCCACAAGCCCTCAAGACACAGTCGTCGCGGCTTCATGACCACATTGCTAAGGAACGCACCTTAACAGATCCGCGTTTCCCCGGCTTGTGAACGACGGTGGGTTTCATCTCACGAAAACTTCGTGGCTCCAGCTTCAGGCTTGGTCCGCCGCTGGATGGGGCCGACCCATGTCCATACAAGCTTGACTGCCTACTTGGCCTGGTCTCATCAAGCTTGCTGGTTGGTGCCAAGTTTACCATTTTGAGTCGTTGCCGGTCAAACATCAAACTTCCGTGACCCTCGCGCAACAGATACACAAAATGTTGACAGGAACTCACAGCTTTCACTTCACAGTCCGCAATATCTCCGACCTCCATATCTGCAAATTCCTTCAAGTCGTCCACATCCACGACAGCTCCGGTGATTGGGGCGTGGTTGATTTTAAAATACGCAACTCCGGGCTTTCTTGAAGCCAACATTGCCTGCAACTTCACACCAGCACGGAGGGATGAGACACCTTCCAGGGGAAGGTGCAAGCTGTTCATCTTCGCGTAGTCAACGTTGTGAATGCTTCGACGTTGAATCAGAGTTCCAGCTGGATCACCTAGCTCTCTGTTCAGAGCTCTCTGTAGTGGAAGCAGGTGGACGACGCTTTCAACGGCATGGCGAAGCAAGCTTGAGCACAAAGGTCTTTCGTGCCACTGCATTGGAGGGATACTGTTGCGCTCTAGTCGATCCCAGCGATGGAGCTGAAAGGCATTCAGATGGAAGGTGCGCAGCACTTCTGACAGGCCAGCCTGGTAAGCATCAAGCCCCTGGCTCTCTAGCCATGCCGCAAAAGCAATCTGGGTGTCGTACACACCGTGCAGCGGAGTGCTGTATTGGTTCGCCAAGACGGATGACAATTCTCGGCAGTCATGTGCAACTTTGACGATGCCGGTGTGGAGCAATAGAGCTTGCAGCGGCCCGAGGATTTCTCGTCCACAGGCCTCGACATCCACAATAAAGACCTCCCTGTCAGTCGCAAGTTGCAGCGTCGAAAGCTGTCCAAATCGCCCTAGTCTGGCTCCTTTACAATCAAGGGCAACACACGGCGACTGCAGGACTCTGTCTGTCGCTGCCTTGCATTGATCGACGCTGCTGACCAATCGGACGGGCAGCCTTCGCAGGCCCAAGTCCTAGGAGGGCTCGTGCCGCTAAGACGCAGTGGTCGGAACATGCTGGCAAAATTCAGACAGGTATGTTTCAACTTGTCCGAATCACGACTTTAATATCATATTCTATACCATCACTGGATGTCCTGTGACACGATGCAACTCTCTAGGCAGAAAATTCGAAGGCACAAGTTATTCGCTCTAGTCTTAGTCTTCTTCTTTGTCGACGATAGAAATCTAAGGCCAGAACCTGTGCAGCACCATTCTCCGGGATCTCGGCCCTCGCACGGCCGAGCCAGTCCTGTATAGCCTGACCGTGGTTCGAGGGCCACTGCGAGCGAGTCGTTCTCGAGCGCCTCAGCCAACGTCGAGTGCACCCTGTTACAGGGGCCACGGACAAGAAACTGCACCCACGCACAATCGGCATACACTCGCCAGACCATTGTATCGGGAAATCGTTTCCGGCTCAAGCTGCTTTAACTCTGTGTCCTCAATTTGCTCATACGCCGAGACAGGTTACTAGTTACATCGCCAAGTACGTCCAGAGATTTTGCAACCTCTTTGACTGCTTTCAACTCCCCTAGACCCCGCTCGCGGCTCACACACGGCCGTAAGGCCACCACGGACGATGTTGCAGCTTCTGCAGCTTGCCCATGCCATGGCGCAAAGTATGGGTGAGCATGGAACGGCATAGCACATGTGCAGTGCCAGGCTGTCAGAAGCAATTGCGGGCGACGAAGTCTTCCATGTCTTCCAGGTTGTCTACTCGATGTGCCTGTTCTGCCTCCTGGTCGGTTGATGAACTAATCATCCGAGTTCAGCGCTATCAGCTGTGCCTGCACAATCGGCTACTGCGTCTCAATTACACTCCAATTTCTGCGCAGGCTCTGTGACAAGAGATAAACGTGAAGTTCGGAACGCTTCTTGCGTAGAAGCTTCCTCCCAGATCCTCTGTGGAGTCAAACCAACCGGATCGACGGGCATGGCCGACAATGAGAGTTTCACGCGGGGACGGTCTCACAGCACCGCTAGCTTGAAGTCCTGGCAGCTCGCAAGGCAGACATGTGCCTTCCAAGTCTCGATCGGCTACAGCTTGTTGAGCCAAACTCCAGTCCAGAATAATAGCCGCGCTCTCTAAAAGAACAAAGAAGCGACCGGATCAAGCTTCGCGCACAACCATCCTTTCAGAAAGCAACCCCAGGATCGTAAAGCTTTGCACGACTGCTGCCTGACTGTTGTGGGGTAATGTTGCCGGCTCATGCAAGAGGCGTGGAGTACGACTGTTCTGCCACGGCTCAACCCTTCATAAATTTTCAGAATCCATGAAAGTCATGTCCACGACGAGATCTTTGTTGTGGATTTTCCTATGCTGGGATTTGTCTTGCTCATGACTGCTAGTGTTCGCATTGCTCGCGTCCTCGACGTGGAGCGCACCAGCCAGCGACAGAGATCGGGCCTCTGCCTCCCAAGCATCACGTCTCCCACAGGCCTCCCTCTCACATCTCATGTCTGACTTGTCCGTGCGCGAACCTGCGCTTTTCTGCTTGGTGCTCGAGACCAAGCCTCGAGCCCTGTAACCAACCCATGAATGCAGCCATCGAGTCGCACTTCGGTGTTTTGCTTGCGTTTGGTTCCGATACACGAAGGCCCGAAGACATCGACCCAGAAATCACTAGATCTAACACTGTCTACAGAATCAAAGTATACGTTCGGGTGAACTGGCAAGGAAAGCATGAGTGTGGCAGGACCTATTAGAGTTCAGAAGGACAACCCAGACCGTGGCACGGGGGTAGGAGCGCTGGTTCGCTGTGCAATAGGGTCGAGACTGGTATTGCTGGTACACCCATGGATCGGCGCACTGGCAGGCCAGGGCAGGCCAGGGGCGAGGGCATTTGTTAGACCCCATGCACCCTTTCTGGGGGCCCGGAGGCTCCCAGCTGGCGTTGGTTCGTCTGCTCAGCCTTAGTGTGCTGGTCTCGGTCATGCGTACCTGCTGTAGGCCGGGATGGCTCTTGACGCCGGGCACCGATAGCAGCGTTAGCGTGGCTAGTTGCAGGAGAAATCTGATAATCATGCTTCTGAGCTGGGTTCCTCCGCGATGCTTGCTGCATGGCATAGGGGGTGCTACTACCTCCACAAAAATACGTCCCGCTGCTGCGACACAGTTGAGCCGGAGTGCTTGCTGCCACCACCACCACCACCACCACCACGACTACAACTACTACTACTACTACTACTACTACTACGTGTACTACTACTACTACTACTACTACTACTACTACTACTACTACTACTACTACTACTACTACTACTACTACTACTACTACTACTACTACTACTACTACTACTACTACTACTCATACTCCTGCTCCTGCTCCTGCTCCTGCTCCTGCTCCTGCTGCTGCTCCTGCTCCTGCTCTGCTCCTGCTCCTGCTCCTGCTCCTGCTCCTGCTCCTGCTCCTGCTGCTGCTGCTGCTGCTACTGCTACTGCTACTGCTACTGCTACTGCTACTGCTACTGCTACTGCTACTGCTACTGCTACTGCTACTGCTGCTGCTACTGCTACCGCACTGCTACTGCTGCTGCTGCTGCGACGACGACTACTACTATATACGACTACGACTACGACTACCACTACGAGTGCGACTACTACTCCGACTATTAACGACGCCTCCAAAGCAGCAACTGGATGCGACTGGTGCCACCCACGATACATCCCGGCCTCGAGCCATTCGGACACTGGCAGGGCTTTTTCCTTCTCGCCCGTCTGGCATGCCACGCCATACCGCGAGCCACGAATTCTTTCTGTGCAAAGTCCTTGCCTGCGGTGCCACGAGCTCTTGACCTCAACCGGTGGCGGCTACTAGGCCCTCAGTTCTAATCTGGCAACGAACCAGAAAAACCAAGAGCCGGACATGCCAACACCTTGCACTTTGCCGTTGGTAATCCGGGCTACCACAACGTGAAAGCGGTCTGCATTCGGCGGGCATCTCAGGGAAGCACAGACTCTTGATAGAACTTGGAGGTTTTACCATCGAGAACTTTCTGTATCACCTGACAGCATGCACGCACTCACGCACCGCAGCATTGCCAGGCCATGCCTCCTCGTCGGCAAGACCAGCTTTCCTCCCGAGCAAACCGGAATGAAGCCGTGGGCGAACATCGGTGGAGGCCATGCTGTTCGCGCCCAACAAAGACCACAAAAATAAAACGAGAAGAGAAATCGAAACGTCTTCCGATCGGAAGCATAAAGCAAAGCTATTCGCAACTCCGGAAACAAAAACACACATCCGGTTTAATTACGTTTCTGGGCTTGGTCGACTTCAGGCACTCTGGATTAAACATATTTATGAAGTGTACTTGCCTGTCCTCGGTCCCAGCTGTTCCAGGTAAGCTGCTTTGAAAACCTCGCGCTCTTTCCGCAAAATCTCGGCCTGAATTCAGCTCAGACTGGTGTGCCCGGGGACTTCGGGCACTCCGCACGAGGTCTAGTCTACAACAGGCCATGGGTGTCTGTGAGTACGGCAGGCGTTGTATTCCCGGTCTGCAGGAAGCAATCATAGAAACTGAAGCAGGGATATTATGATGTGTGCCCCATCCCCACTATTCATATGTATTGCCCAGTGCTGGAGGAAGACTGTGTGAAGAAGGGAGACTAGACTTCGTGATTACGGACGGTTGAACATCGTACGCACCACAACATCACGCAAAAGTCAACACTCTTTGAATGCATCTCCGGGTTCCATGAGAGCCTTGGACGGTCCCGGTGCTAAAGCTGTTCAGCCTACAACAACAAATGTAACTACTGCAGGGAGTGGAACAGAGTCGAGCCGCGTGTTTCGCCCTTGACCAGGGCTTGACAGCCGTGTGCCGTTAGGAGCGCTCGCACCGTCACAAGGGAGCCAGGGGGTGACTTGATCCGGAGACCATTGCCTGCCCAGTAAAAGTGATGCAATGCCCAGCAAGGGGTGGGACGCGTACCGGACGCGCACCTCGTGTCAAGTAGGCAACAACAGACAAGCGCACGAGCGGGTCGAAGGCTCCAACTGAACAGAATTTTACTGAGCAATCAGTGGCAGATTCCAGTGAAAATCATACATTTGCGTCCCTCAGTCACACGTCTGGTATTGCCTCACGGTACCTACAGTTCGGTGGGTTGTGCTTTGTTTTCGGCTGATCGGATCTGTCCTTTCTCTTTGTCCTGACCGTTTTTCTCTCCTGCCGGTTTAAGGATTCGGGCTGAGAGCTTCGGGCTCGAGGCTGGGGCTTAAGTTGCAAGTTTGGGGATTCCTGATTGCGGTTGGGGTTTGGGATTTGGGATTTTGGCCTGTGGATATATTAGTAGCTCTGGTTTGTGGAGTGGCAGCTACGGATACACTCCTCTGCCGAATCGGCGAATGGTCAGCGACAAGGAAAATTGCACGGTTAAGAAAATCAAGAAGACACAGTCGATGTGCTTGCCGGATTGCTCGCGTGCCGAAAGCGATGAGCCCCAGGCGGGCACACTACCGACATGCAGGAATCGTGGCTGCGCCGCCACGACATGGCGTGCCTGGCCACGTTTTCCCTAAACAAGAACCGTGTGGGCTTAAACCTTCTGGGGCGCGAACCAATCGCGAAGCTATTCGGTCTAAGGCATGAGAATCGCACCTGCCGATGCCCGTGACAGGTCTCATATCAAGCACGTTCAAGCAGCGTTGGGTGGATGTAGATGATGTAGCCGGCTGGGCGAATGTTCCGCTCCGACAGCGTCTCGCACGCTCCTAGCTTTGGGGTTGTCGAATCTGCGCCTGCCGCCGCTCACCGACACCAAGCCAGCCATCCGACCCGTGCCCGCAAGGCTGTCTGCCTTGGCCCAGATGTCTCGACCGACTTTTGCAACTTCGACTGCTGCTACTTCTGTTATGCGCACAGACACAGACGGAGACATTGGCTGTAAAGTAACATATGCTTTTGCCGCTAAGTCCATATTGGCAACACCTCGGTACTTTTCCAACTCTTTGTCAACGTGATGACGAATGTTTCCACGTCCTCGGCTTAACCTGGTTGTCATGAGATGGAAAATTGCCGTACATGATCCCATCGCTCCCGGATCATATCACCCTCAACAGAAAGGCGTCTTCGTTGGCCTGAATTTTGTCTGTGAGGCTCAGGCCTGCGGCAAATCGGCAAATCAGCTAGATCATGTCTCCAAAACCTTTAAATGATAATCAAGGCTTCCACACATACAGCCCCTAGTCAGGAGGAAATTGCTCCTGCGGTCTGTCACGGTTCTTGCCATGACAACACATGTTGCACCAGCTGTAATGTGGTGCTGAACCTGTGTGTGGAAAGCGGAGGATTCCTCTCAACTCTCGGTCACAAAGCCCAAGGCAACCAATCGTAGATCAAAGCAAAGCAGCAAAGCAAAGCAGGACGATCGGAGATTAAAACCGTAAGTTTGACGCTCAGCAAGAAAGGCAACACTAGAACCCCCAGGCGCTAGCGGACCTTTTGCTGGACCTGACGCAAGGTCGGTCTTGAGCAGTCAAGCTGCGTAAGTGAGACAAAGTTGGCAAGAGTCCTAACCAGGATGCAGACGCACATGTACGCATGTCCGTGACAAATCACACCCCCCTCGACGCGAGCTCACGCGTGAGAAGAGCGGAGTTTAGGAAAGTCACGTACACTGATTGTGCACCGAGCCACACCTCTTCCGGTCAGCTAAGCTCAAAGCATTTAAGAACCATTAGATGTGGGTCGGTCTCTGCAACTGGATCGTACCTATGTTTCACTTCTGTACATACGCAGCCTCGTTGTGATCGTTAGGCGCATAGGGAACTGCCGTGATATCGGTGGCAGTCGGATGATCCATCGGATCTAAGCGGGGGTAACACACTAGACTCAATGCGCTCAGAGCATGGGCTCGGCAGCATCGAGTGTCCGTGAAAAGAGAGGGACACACGAGGAAAATACCATGGCAAGCCATTGTACCCCTGTGGGTCTTCTCAGCGCGGCACAGGCAAGGAATGCTGAGGAAGTAGCGGAAATTGTGTCATAGCTAGGCTTCACCATCAGAATCTGCCTGACCCCAGACTCATTTGGTTAATGGGTCAGAGAGACTCAACCGGATTCACCGTACAGTGACACAATGCGTCGCTACACATTTCGGACGGTCGTTACCTACGAGCAGTGGGGCTACGGGTACGGTCCTTGTTTCCTCGTCCAGGACCGCCCCGACCTTTGCTACTCTTATCGCCCTTTCCTCGGCCTTTCTCCTGCTTTCCTTTTCCCTTTTCGGCTTTTCCTTTGCCTTTGCGTTTCGTCGGTTGCCTCACTGCATCGGGTTCATCGATGAGGCCACTGACTTCGGAGCCGGATCGGGATTTGCCTTTGGCCGTCGTTTCCTTGGCCGGGCCCATAGTGCGAGATCGTGGCTCAGTAGAAGCAGTATCGGAAGCAGCCGGCGACGGCGCTGCAGCATCACTCTCTGCTGCGCGCTTTTGTGTTCGGCCACGTGCCTCCGCACTCGTGATCACGCGGGCAGGCGCCGGTCGCGTAATCGACGGTGTCCACTTATCACTGCGGGGCGCCTTTTCAGGCGGGTTCGACGCCGTTCTGATCGTTGGCGCAGGGAACTTGGGACTGATCCGTTCCTGAGCATTGGCGGAGGTGCCTCCACGCGAACCTGCTCGCCCTGTGTTCACATCTACTGCATACGAGATGTTCACATTGGCCGCCTGGCCGCCTTCATATTGGTGTCATCATCAGGGTTGGCGCCCATCGCAATAATGATGTTGGCAGCTCTCTTCCTGACGACAGGAAGCGTATGCGGCGCGTGGCACATGCGAATAAGGTCCTCAATCGTCGGATTGCCCATATCCTCTTCCGGGACCTGTGTTTTCATTCGCAACACCATGGGCAACTTCATCTGATCGGAGTAAGGTGCCCTTCCCGAGACCCTCAGCGTAGCAGCACTGTAGCCCGTTTGCCGCTGCGTCTTCCGACTCGGTGGATTGGACGGCGGCGGCATCTCACGCGGCGCTGGCGGCGGTGCTTCAGGGGCAATGCCACCCAAACGCTCTCGCCCTGCACGCGGAACTGCAGGTGCTGTGTGGGCCACCCTGTCCAGCTCACTGTCATCTTCATCTTCGTCCTCCGTGGGCACGGGGATGGTGTGAGCTTCTGGTATCGTTGCTTCCCTTTGCGCGGTGGTCTGCACACGACGCTGAGGTGTTTCTCCGCGCCGCCTTCTCATTCGACCTGCAACGTCGAACACATTATAAGGCTCCTCCAACTCATCTGGCAAAGCCTCGAAGACGTCAGGCGTCACCTTCATCGAGACTGGATCAGTGCTCTTAGCATCCGGGAGCTGATCCTTCACGCCTTCGACAAGACCGAAGAATGTCTTCTCAATGTCTTTATCTTCATCGAGAATCTGCTTCAGCTTGTACGCGTGGTCTCGGACGAACTCCTTGAAGTCCTCACGCTTCTTATCGGGCGTTTCAGGACCATCAAGATCTGCGGTTTTGCCTTCATCGATAACCGCAAATCGGGGATCGGAATGATGCGGGATGAACTTTCGCCCCAAAGGATCCAGTTCCCGCCAGTTGACGGCCTGGGCGCTGATGATCTCATCCCCTTTTCCTTTCCCTTTGGGTTCTCCTGTCGCATCGGCAGCACCTTCAATCTCCTCGTTCTCATCGTCGGAGATATACCCTGGTTCCCCTTTTATGGGGATGCCGTAGCAAGTCGTAAGGGTAACCTTGGCGAGGAGTGCCGATAGGCTTTCACTATCAACACGCATGTACCGTTGGTACTTGCGCGTGTCTGTGATCTTGGCACGAAATTCATCCAGTGCGCCAAACTCGGTAGAAAGTCGAACGTGTCTCCTCATCTCCAGATTGGCGTTCTGAAGCGGTAGATGAGTCAGTCGGATTTTCTCGAGCATCTCGGGATCGACAGTGTAGTTGATCGTTTCCCCAGTGTAAAAGGGGGCGAGGTACCCGCGACTCAAGCAAAGCCTGTACGCACGCTGGCAGTGAATCGACCATCGCGCATAGAAGCATAGTGGCTTCTCCCGGCATGTGGCGAAGACTGCTCCGAAGTGCTTGACAATCGTAGTAGCACATGAGATCGACCGTGATTCGAAGAAATCTTCCACACCACATCGGGCCTCTTTTCCCGTAATACCGGCCACAAGCCTCTCAATGGAAATATCCAAGTGAATGGCGCCCTGAATCGTTCCGCGCACACTCTTCTTGAACAGTTCAACCTCTTTCGGCGATGTATCAGCAGCGATACACTTAATCGGTGGCACCCCGAAGAACGCGGTCTGTCGGTGATCCTCAGCAAGAGATCTGGACACCGGGAAGTTCCTCAGTTGCTTGATCGCAGCGTACTCGTGAAGCGCGAAATCCGCAAGCTTGTTTCTCTCAATGAGCTCGTTAAGCCACGGAGCATGACTGCCGTAGTATTCGACCTGAAAGGGGTTCTCTGGATCGGCGTAGAACATCCCATCAGGATAGTGAATCGGCTTTGTGCATGCATGGCACATGTGGAGACCAACCGGAAAGGCGGATCCGCACATGGGGCAGTCAAAGCTTGCGAGAGGCCACGTTTCTCGGTTGTGTTTGCCTCGCGCAGGGCCGGTGCCAAACTTCGGACCTCCGATGTATTTGAAGGCCGTGTTGAACACTAGCGATCCCGTGTCCATAAAGTATGCAATTGGCATGCATGCGAGAGGGATACTGTCTTTGATCGCATAGTAACCCCTCGGGTGAAAGGACACTGGATTGATACCTGCAGCAATCATGTGCAAGTCAATCGCGAACACAATCATGCGGTTGGACCCCATTCCTTCAGGGAGCAGGGAGCTCGATGCCGCTGTGTTCGACAGTGTCTCTCGTTTCGGATTCATTCGGACATTCATGTATACCTCTTCCCACTCATTGTTCTTCCCAGATCCGGGAGCAAACGGGAGCAGGGTGAGGAACAGCTGTCCCTTCGCGGGCCCAACTTGGCAATCGCTCATGTACCCGAAGAACTCGCGGATCGTTGCGCAGCCCCACCCGTATTGGGGGTGATGTCGGGACACGCTCCTTTTTCGCTCATTAGCGATGTAGAGCTCTTGCACAAGCTGAATGAATGGCCCGTGCTGGGACTTGGTCAGCTGTCGGAAACGGTTGAATGCATCGGGACCGAATCCGTATGCCGCACGGACCCCAACGAACTGAGGACTTCCATCACTGTTTATCGTGGAATAGAAGAACTCAAACATTCGATTGTTGTCCGTCCTAGCAATCTCCATGATGCATTGGAGCGTGAGCTCTGTCGGCTCGTCATTCTCATCCAGGATCTCGGTCTGGAGAAGAATTCGGCCGCTGGTCTCTCCAGCTTTGGCCTTCATGTACTCTCGCATGTACATCGGAATGATGTTGAACGCGATGATCCCACTTGAATCGAGGTACGAGTACAATGGAATGCCCCTCACACGGTCATCGGAACCCTTCTTCGATTGATCGGCATTGGAAGGGTACTCCTTGGTCTGTGTGAGCACTCGGAACATCAGCTTACGCACCAGATTGGTCATCGCCTCATCTGGAATAGCCGCAGCGGGAATCTTCTGTGCATCATCGATAAGCAATCGGCTGCACGTGATCGACGTCCCACCGATAGAGCGAATTCGCTCTTCTCGGGCATTATAAGCCCTGACAGCATCGTTGATGTCACGGCACTCCTCATAGGTCTCCGGCCGGAGGGGCGAATCGTAATCCCCCTCCTCGGGCTTCTTGTGAAGTGCCACCTTCAAGTACAGCGTCTGATTCGAGGACAGCATGGCGAACCGGCGCCTCGAATACTTACGCTGCTCGTCAGTCGGCGGGAGACAAGTATCCGGCAGTTTCTCGGATCGTTTGCAGCCTGATCGGCCGCCGTGCTGGCTGGATCGATATCGACCACAGGCCCACGAGCTCCAGAGAGCACAGCTCCCTGAGCTGTCATGTCAGTCGGATGACTGGAACGCACGCCGTGTTCCGGACGGTTCTCGACGGTTCGGGCAGCCTGCGGCGGGGTCTTGCCGGGGACCTCGTCAGCTGGCTCCCTTCCATCACCCATCTTCTCATCCTCATCGGGCTTCTGATCGGCCGTATCATCCTTCATTTCATCATCGTCACCATCCTTTCCCATTAGGCTCTGCACTGGGTCTTCATCGGGCTTTCGGAATTGGGTCACCCGACGCTGCATAGTGTAGCCCGGTGGCAGCTTGAGGTCTTCTCTCGTCAGCCTCGCTGCAGTGTTGTTCACCAGAGCGACACGCATGGACTGAATAACCTTCCCAGGGGTAGGCGCAATGAGGTCTGGCCAATCATCGGGAGTCGGAGCCTCAAGGTCCTCTGGTTTGAACACCATTTGCTCGAAAGACATTGCGCCCATGCCGCGGTGTCGGATAGCAATTTGCAACGATTGGTATGTGTTGAGCAATGATCGAGCCATACCATACGTCGAAGGGATGTGCGGATGAAACACAGGGAGGGTCGACATGCTCGCCAGCGCGGCATCGAGGTTGGAGATAATCGCACCAACCTTGGCTTCAAGCTCCCCCCTGTTTCCATACTCAGGGGTCCATCGTGCATCGATGGCCGACACAGTCTCACCCGTATCACGGTTGATGAGCACAGGCGTAAATCGATCGCTGGCCATCTCCCGGATGAGGGTGCTATTGGACTCAACCCGACGTCGTCCCTGGGCCAATCGGTTCGTGACTGCGTCAAGCGCATAGTCACCCGGAGGGTACATGGCGCCCTGGAACACGTCGATGTTCGGGTCCACGACCTTCGCGAGTCCATCGGCGATGGTTCGCAGGTGTTCGGCGCCTTCAACGCCGGTAGCGCCCTTCGCCTTCTCAGCGATATGCGCTTTCATCTGCGCGGCATGTTCGCGACGCGCTTCGGCCTCGCTAACGTAGCTAGCGAAGCGCGCGTATTGCTGGCGACCCTCTGTCGATGGTCCTGTGGCTTCCTCACCGCCCATCGGCTTCGGTCTGCTCTTCGTGCCGGAGAGGGGAAGCGACGGCACCGCAGGAGGGCGGGCAGCATCGCGATTGGCCGCAACAACCCTCTCTGCATTATGAGGAGTGGGCATGCGTTCGAACGCTTCGGCCATGCCTCCCATGATGTCCTCAAACAGATCGTCGAGGAGTGGGCATGCGTTCGAACGCTTCGGCCATGCCTCCCATGATGTCCTCAAACAGATCGTCGGACTCCTCCTTGTCGGCTGCAGACATCGCTGTGTCGCCATCGCCGTCCCGCCGGTCGCTATCGGAATCGCTGCTGGAATCATCGTCACCAGCAGTCGGGGCAGGGGGAGGCGAAACAGGCATTGCTTGACCAGGCACAGGAGTTGCCGGCAGCGTTATCGGATCCGGGCGCCGGACACACGGGAGATCCGCGAGGGTTCCCGCCTGTTGTTCGACGGTTGCCTTCTTGATCTGGATCTTGGGTGCGACTGTGCCGGTCGCATCATCCTGCTCTTCATCGTCATCATCGAATCCAAGCTTGCCAAGATTGACGGTTCCCGCGTCGCCATGATCCGCACCACGATCCAATGTGTCAATCAGACCCTGAACCGACGAGTGGACAATGGCCTTCACCTCGCCTTTCGTTGTGTCCTCCGGAACGATGGTGCGTTCCCACATCTTATCGGAGGCAATCTCGAAATCCCGGCGGGTGTCGTATTGCGGAAACCGCGCAAGAGAAGCAAGCGTGAACATCGAGCAGATCCGGGTGCACAGAGCCCCGATCGTTTTGGACTCGTGCATGACATGATATCCCTTCAGGTACGGAAGCCCCTCCAGGATGGCGTCAAAGGACAGGGTAAGGAAGTTCGACCTCCTGACCGTGTCCCATATCGATCTCATCTCCACTCGATACCTCTCGAAGAGCGCATCGGGGAGAGTCGGGACATGTGCCATACTCGGTGACACCGGTCCGCACAGGGACACTGATCCGTAGATCGCGTTGAACTCCTCGAGAGCATCTCGGGCATTCGTTTTGGCATATTGTGATCGTGCCATATCGATGTCGCCGGTGATCTTGTTCCAGCTTTGGTCCAACTTCCACAGGTCCGCTCCTCTCCACAAGAGGAGGATGTGCACATTGGCCTTTGGGATGGTGGTATCGCTCTTCATCAGCTCGACGGTCTCGATCATCTCCTTGAGCACGAATCCATCATCTTCACCAACTGCCTGCACACGCACATCGGGGTTCGGAAACCCGAACTTCACCAGCGCGTTCGTCAGGTGCGCATTCATTTCTCTGCAATGCCATCCTGCTTTGGACCTGAACGTCAGCAAACCATCGTGCACGACGACGAATCTCTGCCTCTCGCTGGGGACCGCCGGCAGTATCGTTGGCGGGGCACCCCCGTACGCGATCGTAGAAGCCATCGTCGTGACGGTTCTGATGCCGTGGATCGCCACCGCCACAAGGGCATCAGCAGGACTCCACACGCGGGCTTGGCAACGATATCCGTGGTACCATCTTCATCGTACATGATACCCTTCTTGCTCTTGGCAGGCGTATAGCCGAAGTTGCCAACCACAGCACCAAAAGCCTGTCGGTAGTGCTGGCACCAGAGCTCCCACTCCTTGGACGGTCCGCCGGCGATCGTGATGAGCTTTGACGGCTTCGGCAGCCCTTGACTCCCCTGCTCACCCATGATAGGTGCTCGCATCTGAAAGAACGGGGCAAGCTCGATACGGTAGCTTGAAGCTTGAAGCTCGGACTGCAAGCCATATCTACCACCAACGGTGGCCATCTCGCTGTTCCCGTATACATCAGACGTCCATCGGTTCCGACGTAGCACAGATGGGTGAACAGTGATGCGCTCAGTCGGATCATCACCAGCCGTCGCGGCTTGATCCGCGGCCCCAGCGGTTTCAGGCTGCTTTGTCTCGGTAGCCTCCGCTGGTGCTTCGGTTCTGTCGCTTCGGATCGCGAGGTCCGCAAACTCAACAGAGTTTGAGCCAAGGACGTTCCCCAGCAGCTTCAGGATGCGAGGGTCTATCGGACTCGCCTCCATCCACGGGTGCCAGGCCACGGGTGTCGCCCCGTCCGCGCTGAGGAATCGGTGTCCGTGCACAACGTAGTGCGGGGAAGTGGACACTCCGTGCTCGCGATCATCCAAGACTCGGAAAGGTCTGAACGCGATCCCGCATAACTCGAGGAACTTCGTTCCGACACGGATCTGCTTCCCTGATCCTCCCAGCTTCTTCTGGGTTCTGGTGTGGCTATTCACCACAGTTCGGGACACACAGATCATGACCTGGAACCAGTAACCCCCACCGATATACGTACCAGAGGCAAAGCTGCCGGCAGCTTCGGTGGCGCTCCCAGCGACCCACACGCAAGGCTCGTGACTTCCGTCAGTGACATAATCCTCGCCGAACAAGCCTCCGTGTGCAAGAATTGACCAGAGGTATCGGAGATTCGTCCCATGGAAGAACGTATCCTGAGGATCATAGATGTCCGAATTCATCGATGGGACATACGTCCACCCGTCAGTGGGGTGAACGACAGTTTGGCCAGCGCCATCCTCGTAGGTCATACTGGAGCTGGCCGACCAGTTGAGCGTGTCGTCGATGCTGACGCATCGGCCGGGGTAAGCCTCGACCAGGGCCTTCATGTAAGAGACCCATCCTCGCATCAACGGGGTGTTTTCATCGTCATCCTCGTTGCGGAAGGCAGACACCTCCCCGATTCCGTTCGCATCCACGGCAGGAAGATCGTCGCCGTGCTCTTTACAATCATCCTCGAGGTGCTTGGCCTGCTCCTTTAGAGAGTCGATCGTGGGGAATCGGTTAAGTGCCTTGAGAGCCAGGAATGATCCCGGGAGGAAGGTCATTGTAGGTCGGAGCTGCAAGAAACCCTTGAAGAACTTCGCAGCCTCGACCTGATTGACCGCATCCCTGGAACGCTGAAGGGGCGGCAGGTTGAGGAGATCATTGTGTTTGATGCTCGTATCAGTCCTCAACCACCGTTGCTCAGCGGTATTGCTACTATACCCGATAAGGCCTCGGTTCCAGCTCGCGAGAGGCGATGGGATGTAGCACTCACCCATAAGACGGAGCGTATCGTAGCTCAGCATCTCTCGGGTCCCTTCAAGCTATTTGCTTGAAAGTGCATGCAGTGACGCACCAGGGACATCACAAGGCCCATTTTCTCGCGGGCACCTGCGGCGTCGCCTGATAGCGTCGCTACTCGGGAGAAGGCGAGGGCGGACATGACCTTGTATCGGTCAACCAGATCCATGTACTCGGATGGAAACTGCTTTCTCTGTTTGTCCGCGAGCGGATGGGTGGTGAAGAGGAACGAATCGATCAGCCTCTGAAGCTTCTGTTCAAAGCCAGGGTTGCACGTCAGCTGATCGAGCCGCTGCCAGATAGTGACCTCTGGGATCTCTGGGACACCCATCTTCAGCAGGGTCGGCTCCCCCTGCGCCCCCGGTGGACTCATCTCTCGGAGTCTGAATCGGAACCGGAGCGTCAGCGGCACCCATCTCAGAATCATCCTGCTCCGTATAGGAATCGGGGGAACAGGCAGCCTTTCCGTAGCCGGCGCAATCGGACCGCTCGGAAGGCCTTCCCCAACGTTCGTAGGGGTCTTCGGCTGAGGAGATCGGGCAGCCGAGGGCTTGGCAGCAGGCGCCTTCTTCGGTGGCTGCGGCTGCTTGTTCTTTCCCATCGTCAGCGGCAGCAGCAGCACAAAGGAGTTCGCGGCCCGTGGCAGCTACAACCTGTCCTAGCAGGGAGCGCAAATGGGCTAGAGTTCGAGTCGTAGTAGAGGTGGTCTGTAATGGTCTGGTGTCATCGGTGATTTATGATCGTCGTCCCTAGAGCTCTACACGTCAGTCGCTGTGGAGTGTGAAAGTGCAAGTGTGAGTGTGTGTGTGTGTGTGAACATGGCCTTGGCGTCTTTGTTTAAGCAATCGGCATCGCGGATTGCTGTGAGCCAAAAGCCGCAGAGTTCATAAAATGTTCAAGCACCGCCCACAACGCAAATCGAAGCTCATTCGGGTCGGCCCTCTTGGCCTTCTTATGATTGCATGCAAATCCTGTCATGAAAACAGGCCCAAAACGGGCAGGCATGAAAATCTCACACATCCACGCATGCTGCGAACATCGACCAGAGGAGCACGAACACAACTTGACAGGACAAAGTTCATGCGATTCGGACCACCGTCTTAGATACTCTCTTCCCCAAAGTGGGTTTCCCTTCGGTAGCACCAGGAATAGAGGAATCCCAGACAATCGGGCGGCGGAGGCGCACGCAAGTAGTTTCTTGGCCTCCCAACCTTTCTCCTTTAGATCGCCCCTCATTTCTTTCCAACCCCTGCTCTTGAAGCCAGCGTCACTCTTGTTCATAGCGCCAGCAATTGGAACAGTCACAACACATACCGCGGGCGTGGGAGGAACCCTGATGTTCGAAATAGCAATCCCCTTTGCATGATCATCGAGACTGAGATTGATACTTCGAGCATGAGGGAGTCTAATTGTACCCTCGCTCCCGATATGGATACATTTGATCGCTGCTCCAAATTGGTGAACATCGTCAATCGCGATACCCCCCTCACGAGACATATCGAGAATGAATTCATTGAAGGGACTGTGACCGGTTTCAAGATGTACCCCCCTGGTTGGACAGACAGAGGGGAGGGCAGGAAGAGCGGGAGCGGCAGAGAGCATGCCGGAGGAAATGAGAGTACCCTTACGAAAATGACCAATAGACATGAGATTGCGGCCCCAAACCTTCGCATCAGTGCAAGCTTTAGTGAGGATATCACCAGCCTCAAACTGAGAGGGACACGTCACAAACATGAAGTCTCCAGCGTGATAACGTTCATTCAACGCCGAAATATCGATATGCTGGGTACGAGACATGTGACGCATATGGGGGTTATGACCAGTGATGATGACCCGGATAGCGGCCTCATTATCCTCCATAACCCGCAAGCGAAATCGACGGCCCAACATATACTCCCACATAGAAAGAGCAGGTAGGCCCAACTTATAAACGGCATGGTCAAGGGACACAATCTCGGCCTCAGGAGTAGACTTCGATACCGAAGTCTGCTTCTTGGACAAT